TACAACCAGTAACTACTGATAGTGAATAAATAAACAACTAGTTAAGAATGTTAACATCCACAAAATTTCTTCACACAGCATTTGCATTAGTGCTTAACTGGGAGCTACAGCCTAGTCAAATTGATTGTAAAATTACCTTTCACATGCATAAGAAGCTAACTGCCAAATTAGTAATACCTGAAGATTGAAACATCAAAACAAATTGATGGCAAAGTACAAAACCTGTGGACTTTCACTAACCCCACCTCATTCCTGTATCCCAAACACCCCGCCCAAACATCCCTCATACTAGGGAATGATCTGGCATTTCCACCCCTCACTCAACTGCCCTTCCCCAAATCAATTTTCTTTCTAAATGCCAACTTTAATGTGATCAAGACCCAAATTCTGGTTGTCTATCTCTCAGGACACAATATTTCTAAAACATGTTGTGTTTCTAACTGATGAAGCTCATCTCACTAAAAATTGGCATGGGGTTAACAAGAACATGTGGCTGAAAGTGGACGGTGCTATTTAACATGCTGAGTCATTTACTCATTTATGGCCTCCATCTACTGTATCATCAGAAAAGTACTTGTGTGACTTTGTAAAAGTTGAATTAAATGACACTGTCACCTGACCTTGTTTTACAGGAAATGTGGCCTATTTTATTTAGCAGCGCCTTAACCACAAGCCTCTGTGATGTTTATTTCCAAAATACTCATAATTTCACAGCTCTCCCTTTATTTAGTTTTCTGAGTCAAAATTAAATCTAAATTTTTTGTACATGATTCTCCCTAAATATTAGCAGAGAACTAGGGTCATATACATGCACATGTGTGCCTTACACACTATATTTTTGCATGTCATCACGTGTTGTATGCGCTGATATTTTTTCTTTTGTAGAGGCTTGTGTTGTCGGCTTTCCAGATCACTGTCATCAAGATAAAATAAGGATTGCCATATTTAACCTTAGCGATAAAACTACTGCCAAGCATTGCAATCTAGCGTTTTGGCTGTTTTTGCTAAGAGTTCTGTCTTCACATTTATGTATCCTGTTAGTTCCTGTATCAATTTAGAGAAAATGTAAAGGGTAGCTATTAAAAGATATCTGGAAGGTAAAAGGAATTTGGCACTCAGCAGAAAGGCTGTCGCCCACTGTTTAGTTTCCTTTCCTCTCCTAAACAATCATTTGTTTCACAACTTGTAAAATGAATTTTGAAGTAGTGCCACATTATTCCCCCAAAATATTAATAGGCACAATTAATATATAGGTGTATGTTTGATTCTGTCATTCTTCATTCCTGTTTCCTGTCATTCTTTTTTTAATATGCTATGACAGCTCCATAATGGAGCCCCAGAAGTATGATTCCAGGGCAAGCGACAACTAATCATCCATGTAGCATGGAGTGTTATTCAGAAAATACATGTTTTGTCAGCAAGGACGATGTTCTATAAAATTTCAGTCCAGGAAAAAATGCTTTCTAAGATTCATTTACAAGCAAAAAAAAAATAGTGGGATGCTGAACTTGATGATGCTGACAGGGGATTTTGTTATGTTTTTTTCTGATAAAAAGATGGTTGTTTTAGTTTTAACTGCAGTATACAAGACAGAGCTGTTAAGGAATCCAATTATGTAAGTTCTATGCGAACAACAGAAACAATGCTTCATACCACCCTGTATTACTGATTTTGTAATTCTTCAACTGTAATGGGATCCTCAAGCTACCTCTAGATTGTATAATATGTGTTTTATGGTTCATGGATGAAATTAATACCCCAGTGAAATAATTAATAATTAGCTATGATGGATCCTACACTAATGCTATGTGCAAACCCACAAAGCAAGCCAGGTATTCTTCTAAACATAGCAAAGGTTGTCACTCAAACATTAGTAAGTAAATAAATACTTCCAGAAAATTCAAGAGGAACAAGCCAACTGCCTTTAAAATATTTGTACAGAACTGTATCAGTGTGACCCTTTTGCATATCCAAGTCCTGTTATCAAGGCAAAACCTAACAGATTTGCTATAAACTCACATGTGAGAGGCATTCAATTCATTCTGCCTATTGCTGGAAATTCTGAAGTTTCTTCTTTGAAGAGTAGAGGACTACGTTTCTTTGATATATTGTAAATTAGTCATGCTCTTGTTTCTCAATCGTGGGTGATCTGTGCAATTTATTATGCCTTGTGCATTATGTATGTGTAGGTTACATAGTAAGCTAATATAAGCAGTAAATTTCTTACGTTCATTGTAAACAGAAAACTAAAAACATCTTGAAAAACGGATATTTCTAAAACATTGTGACAACAAGAAAAGTTGGTCTTTCTTTTTTGTTTGAAAGATTCATCAGTTCTTTTGAAAATCAGGGTCATTATCTGTTGTCAGTCAGTACATTTTGAAGACACTTGTGAACATAGCCAAACAAATTATTTCAGAATATTCTTATTTATCCATTTCACACTTAATTTTGCAACAGTGTTAATGTATATGACATTCATGATGAGGAATGATAGGACAAGGATATACTCTAATCGTGGTACAGTTCTCACTGTCCTACCCAGAACCCAGCTCTCTGGAGGTTGAAAGATGAAGACAAGGACGGGAAAGGTCATCACTTTTGCAACACTACAGCTGACAGAAACTCAGCACACTCACCAGTACAGTCTGCTTATGGTGTGGCAAAAATCACCAAATTAGCCTTCCACTAGAAACACTATTGTGTTATAATGTTACCCCACTTTCATTAGTGGTTACAAACAAATCAATATACAATTTGGAACAGATGATAAAGAAATATAAATACCAAGATCGATTTGTTTTCTAGCCACTAATTCATTATTTATCAGGTAGCAACTGGTAAGTCTTGGATTTCATTGCTCTTATCCGAATAGAGATTTATTGCTTAATTCTATTCACTTGTTGCCCTATTGTTTACCCTAATCCCTTAACTCAGCCCTCCCACGCCTTGTTACACACACATCGACATACCAGAAAACTTCAAATTTCATGGAAAATGGGATTTAGGAAATACATATCCTACATAAGCATACTAGGGTCTGTTTCCCATCTCCAATTTCCTGCCATTGTAGATCCTAAAAGGTAATGATGGCATATCAAGCAATTCATCTCTTGGCACTCACACTGAAGACCTAAACTGAGTTGGCAGCTCGTAGCTTGGGTTCTGGCCCTACTTCATTTGATGCAGACATTTGGGAAGTGAAAACAACAAAGAGAGGTCTCTCTCTCTCTCTCTCTCTCTCTCTCTCTCTCTCTCTCTCTCTCAATATATATTTTATTGAAATTTTTGAAGGTCTCTTGTGTTTGTGGATTTCAAAATATTTTCCACTAAAATAAGCTTATCTTTAAAAAATACAACACAAGCTGTCAGTTGTTTACTTTGTTACAGATTTCTTTGAGAGAAACATCAGTTCCTATGTGTTCCCCAAATACCCACAGCATCCAGGGCTGGGGAAGCCCTGAAGCTGGAAGCTAGGAACATAATCCCGTCACCCCATGTGAGTGCCAGGAATTCAGCTACTTGAGCCATCACCCTCTATCCAGCTTCTGCATTGGATGCAAACTGGAGTCAAGAGTTGGACCAGGGAGGAAACCAGGCACTCTGATACGCAATGTGGAAGTTTTAACTGATAGGCTAGTCTTCTCTTCCATGAACTTCTTCAAGTCCTTTCTTGCAGATGTATGCATAGAGGTGAATAAATGCAGCATTGATAGGTGAGTGAATCACTGTTTATGTATGAGTATTTCCTTATTGTTTCTTTCACTGTTCTTCAGATTGCAGGAAAGTAGGAGCTATGTCCATGTACTCCCAGTTCCAGGAGTGCTAGGCTGGCACCTGCCATGTGTTTGATAAGTGTGTACTGAATAAATGATGGAGAAAATGAGTGCAGGATTGTGTAAGACGAAACAAGGGTCTCCTCACTCTTAACTCAGCATTCCTGCCTACACGCCTGCTTATCAGCACTGTCTTTCTACTACTAAGCCATCTTGAGGTGAAATCTTACCTGTTGCTTTTCTTTATCACTTGTACGGGTTGCTGGGATGGTTAAATGACTCTGCCAAGCACACATTCCTATTTTCCTGATCCTGAGACCTTCTAATAAATGAAAGCATTTTCCCTGTTTTTTCTTGCTTAATTCAAGTTGGCTTCCTCTTCTTCTCTCATTCATTCTTTCACAGTTGGCACCAGTTTTCTTATTAATTGGCAAATGCAGCCACAGGAGGATGTAGCAACAGATTCTCTTCTGCAATGCACAGGCTTGATTGGGACACTCTGCTTCTCCTCACAGTTCAAGGATTTGCAAGTACAGTGTGGGAATACAGTAGCATCGCTGTGACTGTAGGAAGCGGCAAAAGTCAAGGGAGCAGTACACGTTAATGCTGCAAAAAATGAAACACTTTCTTTGTGCAACCATTACCCAACTGTTTTAGGCTTCATGTTTTCTTAAACAGGATGTGATCATACTATTGAGACTTTTCTTGCTAAGCCAGGAGAAGCGTATTTAGAGGCAGTGGCTTAACAGACTGCGCTTGAATTACTTGGGAAAGCCAGGTGTCTCCTAATCTCCAGGTGCCATGTAAGTGAAGCGTCAGTAGATGAGAACGAACACGTCAATCAGAATTGTTGAACACCAACCTGAGACATCAGAGGTGACGTCCCTTCCCTTGGTGTCTCTTCAACAAAAATACCATGTGTTAGGACTGCTCCAGGAGAGCAGGACATGTACTGTTCAGGGCATGAAACCAGGGACTTCAAAAAGGCCACTGAAAAAGGCTATTCAAAGATAGGCTTGTTTGGGGCAAGAATTGAAATCAGTGTGTACTTTTATATACATTTTTCATTAATTCTGTGAAGACTTTTTGTGTATAACTTTGAAGGCCAGAAATTCTAAGTCTTAAATATTCTTCATTTCCTTTTCATCACTCACTGAATGCATAGAAAAAATTTCCTCTTGAAATGTAGCGTAGTGACAACAAGGGAGCAAAGCTAATACGACAATGGACATAAAGAAGAGTTCTCGAAATTATGGCAAAAATCGGACTGTCATAGAACTCAGAATGCACCAAGCGGAATTCCTGGTGCCTCCTCAAGAGAGGCACTATGGATATAGTGTTATTCTCTGTGAGTTTCCTTTCTTAGCACCATTCCCTTTGGCTAGTAGCATGACTTGCCAAGAAAGTCCGTCTGATAGTTGATACATTCTAATTGAGTGTGTAGAATCAAATATAATGATCTGGCTCCTAAATTAAGAAGGGACATTTATTCTAATGTAGGTTGCCAGTACTTCCAATTTTATATGAGACATTTATAGTACACAATTTTATGTATTGCATGATCAGAAATGACAGGGAATTGAGTTTTTAAGCAACTAATATTACATAAAAATAGAGTAACAGTACACTAATGATAAGGGTGAGTATTATAGCACGTAAGATTGCCATGATAATTTAGAAATAGTTGGTGACTAGATAATTCACTGATGTTGTAGAATGATAAAAATGGAATATTTGAGAGTTTGCAACTAAAAAATAATAACCAGAGGCAGGGATGTAGCTTAGCACCTAAGATCACCACATCTCATATGGGAATGCCTGAGCTTAATTTCTAGCTCTGGTTCCTGTATAGCTTTCTGCTAATGCAGATCCTGGGAAAAAAGCAGTGAGAGCTCAAGTACCTGGGTGCCCATGCCCCATTTTGGGAGACCTGTAAGGAGTTCTCAAGCCCAGCTTCTGGCCCTGCAGCAGGAGGATGGTAGAAGATTAGAGCACTTAGCAAGTAAACCAGCAAATGGGCTGTGTCTCTAAAAGTAAGTAGTCTTAAACCAAATGCCACTGAGCTGAATGTAAATTGAAGTTAACTTAAAAATTCTGCAAGTCTTATCAGAATTGTGAAAGAAGATTGTAGGAAAACGTTTTCTCAGTCTAGACCATGAGATCAGGGTCAATGCCAGCATTCACAAGCCATGTTGCTGGTGTGCACCCATGATGAAATGATGGGAGAGGCACTTTACCTCTGCGTTCTTCCCCCTCAAGCCCCAAGACAATCACACAGTGAGAAAAATATCAGACAAATCCACACTGAGAGGCATGCTGTGGCATGTCTGACCTGCACTCCCCAAAGCATTGAATGCTGTTGGTCCAAAACAAAGGCGTCAGAAATTGCCATGGTCAAGGCAAACCTAATGGTCAACAATGTAAAAGTGTACTGTAGGATCTTTAATGAAATTCTGGGACAGATAAAGGGCATTCAGGCAAAATTAAGGACATCTGATAAAGTATGATTTTTTGTTAAAAATAATGTATCAATATTGGTTCATCAATTATGATGAATTGTAATAGTGTTAGATGTTAATGAGGATACTGCGTGCAGACTATATGGGAACTTTGTCCTATGCAACTTCTCCATAAACTAAAATCATTTTAAGATAAAATGTATTTTAAGAAATACATGGCAGATACATACACAGCTGAAAAAGCTTCTTCTGATATGTTTGCAGAGGAAGATGCTTTTAGTTTATAAATTATTTTCATAATTCGTGACAGTTCTCACATCTGCTGCTATAAAATTCATTGCAGCTTCTCTGCCTCTTGGGAAAAAATGCATTTAATTATCAGTGAAATTCAACTTCACTTGTTGTGATGAATGATTTGAATGTGTCAGCTTCCCCCTTCTAAAAACAAAAGAACTGAGATAAAATACAGTCTTATTCCTCTACGCCCTTCCTTCCACCTGCTTCTTTTAATTGATGAAGGTTTGAGCTTTTATTAATCTTTTTGAGCTCTTCTGTAAGATGCAGAAAAAACTAATACGATATCATTGTATCTAGCTAATGTGTGTGCTTTGTGAAATTGATACACCCTGCCAAGACATAAATTACTTAAGCTTTGATAAATGTGTTCAAATCAGAGAATGTTCAAAGAGATAAAGCATAGCAATTCTTCTCTGTTTTCCTTTTTAAAACTCCATTTTATGACTGGACTAGTTAAGATGGTTAAATGTTTTTTGGATTATTTGTGCAATATGATGGGACAAAAGACAGCAGTGACACTGAAATTAGCATGATGAGTCCAGCAACTACAAAAGTCGATGGGGCCATCTAGTCCTGTGTTTGGTAGATTGCAACTTGCCATGGACAGAGTTCTTTACCTACAGTTTCTGACCCCTTAGTGTTGTATTCCTGTACGTCATGTCACAGAAGCTGTCTGTTCGGAGATGAGAGTAGTGGGAGCTTCACTGTACTTTTACTTGCTTGGTAGGCTGGATTCAAAGCTCCACAGACATGTTTTGTTGACAGAGAGAGCTAATCCTTGCCCATAATCTGGTTGTGACTAAGAAGACGGTGAGACCAGAAACCTTTGATGGAAGTGTGAACTTGAAAGAGTTGACTGCCCCTTGATCACTTATCTATCATGCAGCAATGAATAACTTGCTCAACCATCAATTAGTCAATTCCCTGGAGGCCTGAGAAGTCATACAAGGCTTTGAGCATAAGCTTTTCTCACGATATTCTGCTGCTTCCCAGGTACAGTAATTGATAAGTGCGAGACATGGGTATGGTTCATTGGCCTGCAATCATCTCTGAGTAGGTCTTCCAAGGTTGAGATGAGCCTTGGAGACTTAGGTCACACAACTGTCTGGGATAGGACCCCTCTCGACAGTGCGGCTCTCATGTGGTGATTTATGACAACAGAAAAGCTGAACAACATAGGAAGGTGGAGAGAGGATGCAGGTTTCAGCTTTTTAAGGACATTAAGAAATATCCTTATTCTTTCTGTTAGACTCTTTTACTAGTACGTCATTGCCTGATAGCTTTTCAAGAGCTGGTCTGTGTATTTCATTTTCAGTTTTTGAGGTGGAGAATCCTCTCTGAAAAGTTAAGCAGCCTTTTAAAGGCAAATAATTACATTCAACTCATTTTTATAACATTAGAGATTTTTTTTTATTAATTGCATTGCATTATGTGACACAGTGTTATAGGCACTGGGATTCCCCCCACCCCTCCCCGAACCCTCTCCCCATGGTGGATTTCTCCACCTTCTTGCATTACCATAGTTCAAATTCAGTTGAGGTTCTTTCATTGGAAGTATTTACCAAGCATTAAGTCCAGCATCTTATTATCCTAGTGAGTTCAACACTTTCTTGGTGAGACCATCTCTGGTCTGAAGGTAAAGCCAGCAAAGTATCATCCCAATCAATTAAAATCCCCAACATAACATCAACAACAGTTTACAACATTATGGCATTAATTGACATGATATTGATTAACCAATATGTTAATAGGAAAATGCAGGTTCTTAACTACATCCTGTGACTTCTTCATAGACATTTCAATTTTGGTTTATATTCAGCCAGGTTCTATACACCTCAAAATGGCTATAGATTACTATTCAGCTGTCTCGTGTCTATTTTCATTTTGGTATTTAGCTGTTTGTAGTGTTGAAGCATGATTTTGCTGAACTTAGTTGTTTTTCGGATGGTCTGAACTGGCTTATAACTCTAGCAAGACATGTGTCATTAGTTTAGGTACAGAACATTTTTTTTTAAGGAGGGGTGTGCAGAGAAATATCCAATATCCCAGTGAGGTGTAACTAATCTTTGTGTGCCCATCTAGTGAGGTATGAGTGAATCCGCTAATGGTCATCGCGAGAGAGGGTGGGGACCCAGAGCTGGCACTAGGCGAGGACCAGAGAAAGCTTGCCTCCCTAGTCCTGAAGGAAGTTTATTGTTCTTCTGTTTCTGCAGACCGTTCAGGGCTCCTGGTTGTTGTTCCGATGACACTGGTTTCTGCATGGCAGAGTTTGGACTTCTTCCATCCCCTGTGGAAGCTCCAGATGGGAGTGGGTGACCTCAGAGTTCTTGGCCTCTTGAAGGCACTCCTATTCCCCGTGGTCTCCTTGGCAGTTGCGATGTAGCCCTTGGTGTCCGTACTGATAGTCCTTGGTGAGGATCTGGGAATCTTCAGGGTTGGGATACAAGCCTCCTCCTGTCCATCCGCTCTACTCTGGGGCCTCCCCCCTGCTCCATGCACATGACCTCCTGTTAAGAGGCTGTCAGGGTCTCTCCCAATCCCCCTGCCCCTTGTGCCTGTGTAGCTTTACTGTTGTCTAGTGCTGACTCGAGTTTGTTGCCTGTGAGTTAACAGATTTGATCCTGATAGGCTATATTTCACGTCTTCCTCACACTTTTTAGGGAGATGGAAGATTTCTCTGCATATCCTCCCCATTATGGAATAACATAGGGTATTAAGAGTATTTTAGGTTTTACAGTTCTTTGATATAGATCATAAGCAGTCTGACTCACATTAGTTGTTGTTTTATAGATTACAACAGCTTATCTTATTGCATTGGATACAGGCTGTCAGAGATTGCAATACTATTACAATATACAGGTACTATTTTCCGGATTGACATCTTTTCATCTCAAATTAAGGCAAACATGTGGTATTTAACCTTTTGAGATTGGTTCATTTCTCTTAGCATAATGGACTTTTTACACTCACATTTCTCAGGTGAATCACGTGCTTGGTCATGTTCTTTTACCACACAAACTACCACCAGGATAATCCTTGGATCTTAAAGAGAAGTTTAGTACGAGACAATTTGTAATTTTTTTATTGAGCAATCTCAGGACCATCACAGCACAAGTCTTGGGAAATAAGAAAAGGATCTCACTGTTGGGTCTATCACGTATTCTAAAATGTGCTGGGTTGTTGTCCCCTATGGAGATGAAGACCTTGAAGTAAATGCACTGGTAACAACCTAGTTTTCTACAAAATCAAGTGTTTTGTGCCTACAAAAAATAAATAAATGAATAAGAAAAAATACAATAAATTTTAAAGTGTAATGGGAAGTGAGTGTTGAGCATACCATCTAAGAAGCCTTTGTTCCATATCAGAGTGCATGGATCCCTTTCCTCATGTGGGTTGTGCCTCCAGATTCCTGCTAGTGGCCATACTGGTGGCAGCAAGTGATGCCTCAGGAAGTTGGGAGGAAGTTGGGCTCCCGCCACCCATGGCACAGGGTTCTTGGCTCTCAGTACCAGCCTTTTAGTTTGGGTGGGCTAGCCAAGTGATGGGATCTATTTTCTTTTTGACCCATTGTCCCAAATAAATAAAAATAATAATGCAAACAAAATGAACCAAGAATATCTGAGCTAACAAGATCACAAAACGTCCTCATCATTGGATGATGAGTTCAATGTTCATATGTTTCAATATTGTAAGGGAGAATGAAGAAAAAAATCACTGAATCAAGAAAAATGATCAAGAAGAAAACAAATTTGAAAAATATGTAATGTAATGCAAACATTTTAAGGAAAAAAAAGGGTATTTACTATTGATAGTAAGGAATGTTTTTATATTTGTGGTTGAACACACAAAAATGAACATTGGATTATCAAATTCTAACATACAGTTGAGCACCAAATGTACAAGGCAAACTTTTTTCTTTTTTTCAATATTGAAATAAAAGCTATAATTTTTGGAATAATCTGAAACCAGTTTTACCAAGAACTTTTCCAATTTTGAAGGGGCCAGACAACCAGTGCACAAAGAAAGCCTCACTTCTCTTCCCACTCTTTTCTGTCATGCTGACAGCTCCCATGGAATGATTGCAAGAGTGGTTTGCACCAGTAAAGATAAGAAGCTCTCTCAGAAACCTCCATTATCAAGACTTGCTAATTTGTCCATTATAAATATTCACTTTATGCAACAACATCATGTATAATGACTGTATCCCTGAGGATCCATATTAATTTAACTAAATGATTTTTATGCATCATGAGGAGTCTTACAGCAAAAAAGAATGAAAAGAAAAAAACAAATGCAAATAAAGTACTATGTTTCAGTGGCTATGATTTGGTCCAAAATATGCAGAAACTTGAAAACACGTGTATGCAACTCTTACTTAAGAATGGTCATAATTTCATTATAACAGACAGATATCAAATCACATGCAGTCTAATTCAGCCAAAATGTACTTTTCAATGTTAATTTCTGCTTCTATGAAGGCAATTATATACATAATTATATTTTTTCAAATACATTTTTAAAAACCTTCTAAAATTCATCAGAAGCTTTTTGTTACACAGAGTGAAATGGAATTATGTTCAACCATGAAATTATGTCATAAGCCTTTGAATATAATAATATTCTGAATATTTCCAAATATATTTAACGGACTTATCATTATCTCATTCACATTTTTTTTTTACCTGCTTGATGTCACCATTAAGTAATCTAGAGTGTTCTTGGAGGACGACTTCACAAATTTTATGATTTTAAATGAGAGGCCAGAACGTACTACATTCACCAATCTAGAAAAACAGAATTATGAAAGTCAAGAAATGAAAGACTGAAATCATCTAAGCCCATTAAAATGAAATACTCTCTTCCTTATCTCTCTATTTAAGTTTGTGTACTCAGTTTGTTCTTACTTGAATTAAACACTCATATTGTTATGTTGTTGAGCCCAGCTGTGTGTGCATGTGAAATGCTACTTAGCAAGAATTGGAATAATCTTGAAAGAATTTTCCTTGATCTTGACTTCAGTTCATGTGCAGGCTCAAAGCCTAACCTGAAGTTTGTTTTTCTTTCTTCTTTCGAACAGCTCTTCTGTGACAGTAAAGAAGTGGTGCCTGTCGCAGAGGGATTAGACTGGGAAGACAAGGATGCCCCAGGAACACTGGTGGGCAATGTGGTGCACTCGCGGATCATCAGCCCCCTGCGCCTCTTTGTTAAGCAGTCTCCAGTGCCAAAACCTGGTCCCATGACGTATGCAGACAACATGGAAAACTTTTGGGATTGGCTGGCTAACATCACAGAGGTTCAAGAGCCACTGGCCAGAACTAAAAGGAGGCCAATAGTGAAAACAGGAAAATTTAAGAAAATGTTTGGATGGGGTGACTTCCATTCCAACATTAAAACTGTCAAACTGAACCTCCTTATCACAGGGAAAATTGTCGACCATGGGAATGGAACCTTCAGTGTTTACTTCCGACATAACTCCACAGGCCTAGGCAATGTCTCAGTGAGCTTGGTACCCCCGTCCAAAGTGGTGGAATTTGAAGTTTCCCCTCAGTCCACCTTGGAGACCAAGGAATCTAAGTCTTTCAATTGTCGCATTGAATATGAAAAAACAGATCGGGCAAAGAAGACAGCCCTGTGCAACTTCGACCCTTCCAAGATCTGCTACCAGGAGCAGACTCAGAGCCACGTGTCTTGGCTGTGTTCCAAGCCCTTCAAGGTCATTTGCATTTACATTGCCTTCTACAGTGTTGATTACAAACTCGTGCAGAAAGTCTGTCCTGACTACAATTATCATAGCGAGACCCCATACTTGTCTTCTGGCTGAATCTTTGCACAGTGATGGAAATGACAGAGACGCAGGTGTTCGAGTAGAATGCTGACCATGAAATACGATCAATTCTGTTTCAGGCAGTAAACCATCATTCTCTATCATATTTTCTGAGTCAAAAAAGAACAAGAAACATCTTCAGTTGTGGAATGTGTTTATTTTGCTCCTAAGTACCTTTATCTAAGGAAACAAACTGCTAATGGAACCATCAGTTTCATGTCAGATGACCAACATCCAAAAATCTTGTTGTCTTTCTAAAAGAAGCATCAAGGGGGCCCATCCATATGTAACAAGAAGGAATCAAATGATGCATGTGGTTCACATTGTTCTGAAAATGAACCTGCTTTTGAAATATGTTTTGGAAGGTTAACCTTAAAACTTGAAGGATAAAGTGACCAAAAAAAAAAAAAAACCATGTTTTTGCGCAATGAATTGTGCTTCTGACATTGAGTTCCTTTTTGTTGTTGTTGCTTTCCCCACATCTATGCCAATGTTGATGCTAAAGATGAAGGGGCCCAGTTTGTCTGCAAATCCCTGTGAGTACTGACAGTGTCACAGTGGAACTGAGTACAGTCCCATGAGCTGGAGTTGATAGAATGAGATTTCATCAGTTTATCTCAGGCTGACCCCTTTCCTTAGTGTGCTCATCTGAATAGAAATCCTGGCATAGAATTGGAAAGGTACATCAGGAGTAAATTTGTTGCACAGTAACAAAGCTCTTTACTCTTTGAATGCTTTTGTCAAATTCAGTGCTGTGAGGTTATCAAAAATAGCAAAACTTGATTTCACCCTTACTCTTAAAACCTCATTCAGTTCATCAGATACTGTGATTTTACAGATCTGTGTACAGTAATCCTGAAATTTGAAGAAAGTCATTGCTATCTTGCTGGGAGTGGGAACAAAAATTAGAAGTGGAGGCAGGAAGAATTCCAGGGTGCTGACTGAATTCATTGCATCTAGCATCACAGATAAAGTAATTCCTTGCATTTAACTAACTGAACAAGGAATCAAACAATATATGGAAATATGGCTAAATTAAACATTTTTTAATTAAATGCTAACAATACTGGTACTTCACTCACTAGACTTTTGAAATTACATCCAAATTAAAGTCGCTTCCTGATCAGGGCACTTCCAATCTCTGCAAAATTGAATGGCAATCCTGCTTGGTGTAACTGGGTAATCCCTGAACTGGCATAGAAAGGTCTAGTAGGCAGAAACAAGGTTACTAGAACCCAGCACTCATGGAGTGGCTCCTTTTTTTTTTTTTTAATAATAAATGTGAACTTTCTCCCTTCCTCTCTGTAAAAAACCAACAGAAGTAAAACATTAGATTGAGGACTAAAGTAAGGTAAGTCCTAACCACACAAATGCACTTCCCACCTTGTTCAAACAGCAAGCCACTCTGTTCTCTATTTTACATCTCAATTCTTTTCTTTTTACTGGTGATATCTGCACAGTGTTCGATTTTTGTCGTTTGTAAAATTGTACTAGGCTTAGTGTGTGGTAGTACAGGCTTGACATATTTGCTTTGAGTTCATCAGGTGCTTTTGTAAGTTTTGTGGTTGGTGAGTAAAATTTTGAGACATGTTTTTGTTTTCACCTAGAAACAAGAGTAAGATGCTATTTATTGTAAAATATGTGGGACCCGTATATGTATATATACTTAAGAGGTTTCTGTGTACAGAGAAAGTATGTGTACACATTTCTATGTAAATAAAAGGGATTTGCTAGATCTGTCCCATGATTCAGGGTGCTTATTTTGTGAAAACTCCTTGTTCTGCTTGTTTCTTTTCCTCATAGATTTTAGTCTTTGTGTGTGTAGTTGCTGCTGGGGGTACTGAGGAGGGAGTGTCTGTGCAATACCAGCTGAGCAGTAAGACTTTCCTGTGTGCATATTAACTATAGCAGCTTGGCTGTGGAGATTATGAAGTAAAGGGATAATTCACCCAAAACATCTGGTACATAGCATGACATCAGGGAGGAGATCTGTGAATGTGAGCTGTCAGTCTGGCTGCTGTAAACGTTATGACTGGAAATGAGATTTAAAACTATCTGATCATCAAAAGCTCCAAGGCAGAAATAGTATTCCTATGGAAAGTAAAGATACTGTAAATCAATTTACACAGTTCTTTGGTTTTAGTAGGGTTGGTGGAATTTTTCTTTTTTACTTTTCCCCTGGGCATATTTTTAATTTGGAGTAGAACATATGTCACATATAGTTCTAAGTCATAATTTCATTTCATAGCCTACATAATTGTCAGTAATGGTACTTGGCACAATATAAATCAGACCCCATTTAAACATGCAAATGCACACATTTGTACAAAACGAGTTTTGCCTTTTAGTACTGCATTTGAGGAGAAGGACTTTTATGGAAGCTCATTTAGTACACAGTCACAAAAATGTTCAAAGGTGAAGCCCCTTTTAAGTTTCTGAATTATTTTTAATTGTGTTGTTTTGAGATCGTGTATTTTTGGTTTGTGTTATAGTGAAAGGCTTAGTGACTCTGCTAAATAAATAAAGAATTCAACAAGTAAAAAGGCTTTATTCCATGGAAAGCAGGCAAGAACTGCAAACAACAACCAAACAAAAGGACTTTCAACTTAGGCTCTTATAAAGTAAATTTTAAAAGTCACAAATTAATTAGGATACCAATTGTACATAATTCCTATTCATTCATTTGACAGATATTTACAATTAAGCTAATAAGCAGATTCACAGTAATGAAAAAAAAGTTATCATCCCAGCATTAACAGAGCAATATTTCAGAGAGTGCAGCCTACATTGTTTCTCAATATGCTCATTTAACAGACAAGTCCCCATGATGCCCAATGATGTGTCCACTAGTCAGTGGTACGCCCAGTTGAAGTGCCTTTCTCCTGACTCGCAATGCCAGATCTTGTATTACATAGCAAAGGCAAGCTGAACCAGGTATTCAAGACAATAGAAATAATCTATGTGTGTTTATAACAAGCATAAACCCGAAACCAAAATTAAATGTGAAAATGGGGAAAAGCCATCAAGATTACAATTTCTCATACCACAAAGTTTTAAAAGTTAAACCTACAGAGAAATAAAGTCAGAATAGAAGTATTACACCAATGATATGTGTCCCATAATATATTACAGATAAGAATGTTACAAATGAATAGCAGAACATGAGACTCGTCAGAGTTTTCGCATGATTGTAGCACTTGAAAATTATTTTCGTAGAAGTTGATAAATTATGTGTGAAATTCCTTGGTTGTCTAAAGTATTATTTCATCCTATAGATGATATTAAATTGGTTAACTAGCTGATAAGACTGAGAATGAAGTTTTTGTTGGTTTTTTTTTCTTTTAATATTTATTTATTATTACAAAGTCAGATATACAGAGAGGAAGAGAGACAGAGAGGAATATTTTCCGTCCGATGATTCACTCCCCAAGAGACCGCAACGGCTGGTGCTGTGCCAATCCGAAGCCGGGAACCAGGAACCTCTTTCATGTCTCCCACACAGGTGCAGGGTCCTCGACTGCTTTCCCAGGCCACAAGCAGGGAGCTAGATGGGAAATGGAGCTGCCGGGATTAGAACCAGCACCCCTATGGGATGCTGGCGCGTTCAAGGCGAGGACTTTAGCCGCTAGGCACCAGGCCCAGAGAATGAAGTTTTACTTGCATTAAAACTATAGTTCAAGTTGATCAATCAGTACTTTCAGTGAATTCAGTTCAATATCATTCGTAATAACAGATAAATCCCTGGAAAGCAAGCACCTAACAAGGTGGCTTTTGTTCCTTCAGAAAAAAAGTTGAGGAAGATATTCAAGGGTAATTTCATATTCACCTATCTCCTATCCCATATTATGAGATGTGGAAATCTGGGAATATATCCTAATCTGCTTCATTTTTAACCTTCCCCTTTCTTCATCTGGCTCAGCTGCCCTACAAATACTGGGCCATCTATTCTGTAAAAGAATGAATTGATTTGTTTGTGTACACCATAGCACCTGGTAAAGCATCTGATATGTAACAGCATCAGGCTCATTCAAAGAGAAGAATCAGTAGACAGCATGCAGATGATACATAAATGATAGATGAGTGGATAAACAGAAACATTTATAGGACTTGGCTCATGTAATTAAAAAAGCCAAAGAAGCCCACAGTCTGCTGTGCACAATCTAGAGAATCAGGAGACCTTTTGAGGTTCTTTGGGCCAAGATCAAAGCTAAGAACAAGGAACTTTGATGTCCCAGAACAAGAGAAATTAGATGTCCCAGCTTAAAGAGAGAGCAAGTGAGGGAATTTGCCCTTTTCCTGCCTTTGTGCTATATCCAGGCCCTCGGTGGGATGAATCATGCACACCCATGTTGACCAGAGCATATCTCATTTTCTTTAGTCTGTCATCCTCAGAGACACCCAGAAATGTTTTACCAGCCATCTGAGTATCCCTTAGCTCCACCGAGCTGATACACAAAAAATGAACTGTCACAAACATGTACCTGATCAAAATCTGTCAGTAGATGTTTGAAAAATCTCCAGTGCAATACATATTATTCAAAACCAACTCCAGCCACATAATGCCAGAGTTCTCTTAAATTTCAACACTGCTCTATTTGAACACCCTGCCCATAGAACATTAGCTCCGTGAAAATTAAACCTAAACCTGAGAAACTATTTTTTATAGATCATCTACAATTTGAAGTTTTATCAGCTAAAGAAATGGAAATTTGATGAGGTTGAACAACCTGATTGTTCTTATTGTTCTTCCTGCCTCGTTAAAGCCACTCCTTCTCCTCTTTATCCCCCCAAATCACAGATATTCTGTATGCTATATTTGTGAGCCAAAAGATGGCACAGAAGTGATTAGACGGAGAGCCAGGTTGCAGAGACAGAGAAGCTACTCTGTGAGAACTACCTACTCCTGAAAACTGCCTTCTGAGTCAAGCCCCAAGTGACCTGCACACGTTATTCTAGATGCCATGATTAGATGAAGTTCCACTTTCAATCCATTACCATTAGACTTTAACATCCAATCTGTTGGCTTGTGAGGGG